TAATGAAAGTTTGACTTCTTTCTTTCTAATTTGAATCCCCTTGATCCCCTTATGTTGTCTTATTGCTATTGCTAGAACTTCAAGCACTATGTTGAAGAGATATGGAGAGAGCGGACAGCCTTGTCTTGTTTCTGATTTTAGTGGAATGGCTTTGAGTTTCTCTCCATTTAATTTGATGTTAGCTGTTGACTTGTTGCATATTGTTTTATTATATTTAGGTATGATTCTTGTGTTCTTAATCTTTCCAAGACCTTTATCATAAAAAGGTGTTGAATTTTGTCAAATGCTTTTTCATCTAATGAAATGATCGTATGGTTTTTTTCTTTCAGTTTATTTATATAATGGATTACATTGATAGATTTTCTTATGTTGAACCATCCCTGCATCTCTGGGATGAAGCCTACTTGATCATAATGGATGATTTTTTTTGATGTTTTCTTGGATTTGGTTTGCCAGTATTTTATTGAGAATTTTTGCATCGATATTCATGAGTGAGATAGGTCTGAAATTCTCTTTCTTGGTCAGGTCTTTGTGTGGCTTTGGTAACAGGGTAACTGTAGGTTCATAAAAAGAGTTTGTCAATGACTTTTGTGTTTCTTTTATGTGAAACACATTAAGGAGTATAGGTATTGGCTCTTTTTGGAAGTTATGGTTGAATTCTGCATTAAAACCGTCTGGTCGTGGGATTTTTTTGGTTGGGAGGCTTTTGATGACAGCCTCTATTTCCTCATGACCTATAGGTCTATTTAAATTGTTCACCTGGTCTTGATTTAATTTTGGTATATGGTATTCTAAAAAACGTCCAAATTCTTTTAATTTTCCAATTTTGTGGCATACAGCCTTTTGTAGTAAGACCTAATGATTCTCTGAATTTCCTCAGTGTCTGTTGTTATGTTCCCCCTTTCATTTCTGATCTTGTTAATTTGAGTGCTCTCTTTCTGTCTTTTGATTAGTTTGGATAGGGGTTTGTCAGTCTTGCTAATTTTCTCAAAAAACCAGCTCTTTGCTTCATTGATTCTTTGGATTGTTTCCTGTGTTTCTATTTTCTTGATTTCAGCCTTTTGTTTGATTATTTCCAATCTTCTACTCCTTCTGGAGTCTGTTTCTTTTTTTCTAGAGCTTTCAAGTGTGCTACGTTGTCTCTAATGTGAGTGTTCTCCATTTTCTTTATGTGGGCACTTAGTGCTATGAACTTTCCTTTTAGCAATGCTTTCATAGTGTTTCATAGGTTGGAGTATGTTGTGTCTTTAATTTTGTTGAATCCAAGGAAGACTTTAATTTCTTTCTTTACCCAGGGGTGGTTCAATAGTTGACTATTCAGTTTCCATGAGTTTGTAGCCTTTCTGGGGGTGGAATTGTTGTTAAATTCTACCTTTATTCCATGGTGATCCGATAAGACACAGATGGTTACTCCATTTTTTTTTTGTATCTGTGGCTGTTTGCTTTGTTACTGAGTATGTGATCAATTTTAGAGAAGGTTCCATGAGATACTGATTAGAAGGTATATTTTTTCCTGTTTGGGTGAAATGTTCTATAGATGTCTGTTAAATCCATTGTAATTAACAGATTGCATCCTTTTGTTCTCTCATTTCTCTGTCAAGTTTCTGTCTCGTTGACCTGTCCATTGGTGAGAGAGGAGTGTTGAAATCTTCTACTATTAGTGTGTGGTGTTTTATGTGTGATTTGAGTTCTAGTAATGTTTCTTTTACATATGTGGGTGCTTTTATATTAGAGGCATAGATATTCAGAATTGAGACTTCATCTTGATGAATTGTTCCTGTTATGACTATAAAGTGTCCTCCTCCATCTCTTCTGCTTGATTTTAGTTTGAAATCAATTTGTTAGATATTAGGAGAGTCACACCTGCTTGTTTCTTAGGTCCATTTGCTTGGAAAACCTTTTCCCAACCCTTTACTCTGAGGTAGTGTCTATCTTTGAGTTTGAGGTGTGTTTCTTGTAAGCAACAGAATGTTGGATCCCATTTTTGAGACCATTGATATTAAGTGATATTAATGATCAGATGATCAGTGGTTGTTAATTCCGGTAATTTTTTTTTTTTTGGTGGTACTGTTTCCATGTTTCCCTTCTTGGACTTGTGCTAGTGGAAGGTTGTCAGATGTTTCTGCTGTTGTGGGTGTTGTTGCCTTCCTTGGGTTGAGGTATTTCTTCTAGTACTCTCCGTAAGGCTCGGTTTGTGGATACGTATTTTAAAATCTGTTTTTGTCCTGGAATATCTTGTTTTCTCTATCGATGGTGAAAGAAAGCTTTGCTGGGTATAGTAGTCTGGGCATGCATCCATGATCTCTTTGTGTCTGCAGCACACCTATTTAAGACCTTCTGGCTTTCAAGGTTTCCATAGAGAAGTCAGGTGTAATTCTGATAGGTTTATTTGATCTATTTTACATAATTATTAATATGTTACTTGATCTTTTTCCTTTACAGCTCTTAATACTCTTTCTTTATTCTGTATGTTTTGTGTTTTGATTATTATATGGTGAGGGGATTTTTTTTTTTGATCCAGTCTATTTGGTGTTCGTTCTGTAATCTTCTTGTACCTTCATAGGAATATCCTTCTTTAGACTGGGAAAGCTTTCTTCTATAATTTTGTTGAATATGTTTTCTGGGCCTTTGAGCTATAATTAGTCTCCTTTTTCTACCTTTATTATTCTTAGGTTTGGTCTTTTTATGATGTCCCAGATTTCCTGAATGTTTTGTGTTCGGAATTTGTTGAATTTAATGCTTTCTTTGACCAATGAGTCTATTTCCTCTTTAGTATCTTCAGTGCCTGAGATTCTTTCTTCTATCTCTTGTATTCTGTTGGTTATACTTGTCTCTGTAGTTCCTGTTTGCTTACCCAAATTTTTCATACCCAGAATTTCATTGATTTGTATTTTCTTTATTACCTCCCTTTCAGTCTTCATGTCTTGAACTGTTTCCTTTACCTGTTTGATTGCTTTTTTTAATTTTCTTTGGTATCTTTGAGGGATTTATTAATTTCTTCTAATTTTTTGTTTGTCTTCTCTTTCATTCCTTTAAGGGAGTTTTCACTTTCTGTTTAAGTGTCTCCATCATTTTCATAAGGTTATATTTAACATCAATTTCTTCTACTTCTTCTGGATTAGGGTGTTCAAGTATTCCTGTTGCATGTTCACTGGATTCTGGTGTTATCATGTTACTTTTTAGGTTGTTGGAGGAATTATTGCATTGGTATCTGCCTATCTCTTTCACTCCTGTTCTCCTCAGCACAGGAACAGGGCCTCTTCCTGGGCTCCAAGGGCCTCACAGACAAAAGGGCAAGCTTTGGGGGCAGGGTGGTGTGGTACAAAGAAACCCCGGTGGAAGGACCACTCACTGCTGGCTTCAGACTCCTCAGCCCTGAAGTAGGCAGAGTTGGGGGATCCAAGGACCCCGCCATGAAAAGGAATGCTTGGGGACAAGACGGGATGGGTTAAAAAAAAAACAAACCAGTAGCTGGGAACATCTTTTCCAGCTTCTTTATGTAGGCATTTAGTGTTATGAACTTTCCTCTTAACACTGCTTTTATTGTCTCCCATAAATTTGGGTATGTTGTGTGATCAGTTTCATTAAATTTTAACAGGTCTTTAATTTCTTCCTTTATTTCTTCCTTGACATTTATTGATTCAGGTGAGCATTGCTTAATTTCCACATGTTTCTGGGTTTTCTGTAATTAGTTTTGCTGTTGAATTCTAATTTTAAGTCACAGTGACACATGAGGTTGTTCCAATTTTTTTTTGTATCTGCTGAAGTTTGCTTTATTATGTGGTCAATTTTTGGAAAAGTTCCATGAGGTGCTGAGAAGAATATATATTCTTTTATGTTTGAATGGAATGTTCTATATACGTCTGTCAAGTCCTTTTGAGTCATAACATCTGTTAATTTCCTTATTTCTCTGTTAATTTAGTGTTTGACAGACCTGCCCTGTGGTGAGAGTCCCCCTTTTCATTTTTTAAGTACTGTCCTAAATCATGATCACATCTGAGTCCTTTGTCTTTCTGTTCCTACCATACCACTTTGTCATTTTTTCTTTCCTTGTATAAACTTACTACTCAGTCACGAGTCAGTTTTGTTGTTCTTCTTCTTGAATGATAGTCTTGTTAAACATATTTTTTTTTAAAATTTATATAAATGTTTAGTTCTTCATGATAGTGGGCACAGCTACATCTATGAGTTCAATGATTGTTTTAAATTATTGTTTTTTAATTTGTCTCCCTAAAGACATCTTTCCATGTATTTCATTCAAGTAAAATACATATACATACTTTACTTTTTTATGCCACATACTGTGAGGAAACATGAACTACATAAAGACACCACTGACCATTATCTTCCAAGTTTTTGAAGAAGGCAGATTATTTAGAAAGAGCTATAATATTCTGCTGTGACACAATATGACTAGATAAGTAAGGACCATGAAAAAAATGTTCTCATTGTTTTTGAAGAGTCAGAAAAAAGTAACATGAAGGTGATGTTTGGTTCTTCTAGAATTTTTAGAATTCTAAATGGAAGAAGAATTTTCTAAAAAGAAGAATGAGATGTGAACTTGCCCAAATACCTTGCTTAACCAAATTCTAGACATTAGTCTAAAGTCATGTTTCCAAAAATATTGTCATACTTATCTTTCTTTGCTTAGTACTTCCTATCCTGTTATGTATACAATGTATAATACTAAAATTAAATTATTTGTTCTATAAGGGTGGGTATTCCCAGGCTTTGCAGTTGAAGAGCTTAAGGATGCAGACACCTTCAGGTCAATGCAGGGAGTTCTATTTTAGTGTTAGAAAACATGGGTTTATTTTCACGTTAGAAAACTTGGGCTGTGGGGCAGTGAGAGCGTGAGCTAAGGTCGTAGTGGGAGAAGATTAATCAAAAGTGAACTTGGTAGGTGTTTTCTGTGGAGCTTGAAGCTGATGTTAGACATGAACAGCCATGTAATGGAGATAATGAATCTTCTTAAGTATTCCAAATCTCTTCTATTCTAGGAATTATTGAAGTCCTCTATAGATATTATCAGAACACTGCCACAGATGTGAGGTGTGTGTGGCTCTCTACAGTGGTGGACCTCTTTCATTCATCGTTTGTAGACAAAGGTTGGGGTTGTGGTTATAGAAACTTCCAGATGCTACTTTCTTTTTTTTGTTTTATTTTTTTATTTATAAAAGTTTATTAATTTATAAACGTTTCCATTTCCGCCCCTCCTCCCAAAACCCTCCCACTCCCCACACTCCCTCTCCTCCTTCCTCTCCATCCCTAAGAGCAGTCAGGGTTTCCTGCCCTGTGGGAAGTTCAAGTTCCTCCCCCATCCCTCCAGGTCCAGGAAGGTGAGCATCCAAACAGACTGGATCCCAAAAATCCAGTATATGCAGAGGAAACAAGTCCCAGTGTCATTGTCAATCGCTTTTCAGAGAGACCCCGTGCCAGCCACATTCAGAGAATCCGGCCACATTCAGAAAATCTGGTTGGATCACGTGCTCGTTCAGTCCCAGTACAACTGGCCTTGGTGAACTCTCATTAGATCAGTCCCCTTGTATCAGTGGGTGAACGCACTCCTCACGGTCCTGCCTTTCTTGTTCATGTTCTCCCTCCTTCTGCTCCTCATTTAGATCTTGGGGGCTCAGTCCGGTAGTATTATTGTTCTGCATATAGTACCTGACCTTGTGACTTGTTTGCTTACATGATTTCAGGTATGTCCATTCCTTGTATTCCAAAAATTCAGTCCATGATTGAAGATGCATGGAAGGAAGGTTTTGATCCTCAGGGAGCCTGTCAACTTAATAACAAATTACAGGGAACAAAGGCCTGGATTGGAACATGTGAGATTTATACACTTCTGACCTCACTGAGAGTAAAGTATGTACCTGCAAACTCCAGTTAACATTATTGCATTCATTTTCAAATTACCGGCATTAAATTCAGTCAGACTATCCATGCTGTGATAAAATGTGCTAATGAAAGAAACTGAAGTGAGGAAGGTTTATTTCGGCTTATGTTTCAAAGGACACAGCCCACCTTGGTGGGGAAACAGAAGGTGCAGAAAGTAGACTGGCTGTCATATTGCATCAGCAGTCAAGAAGCAGAGCATCTGTAGGAAATGGGAACCTGCTATAAAGTTCAGGACCTGACTCCAGTGATCTCCTTTCTCCAGCAAGCCTCCACCCCCTAGAGTTTCCACAACTTTTTCAAATAGCTTTTCCTGCTGAGGATCAAGTCTAATGTGAGTCTACAAGGAACAGTGCACATTCAAAGTATGGCAGAAACCATGAACAGTTTTGAATCTTTTTTAGATTTTATTGCTATGAGAGACAAGGATGCATTGTTTGGGCCAGCATTTAAAGTAATCAAGCTATTAAATGCTTTTGGTTATGCTTTATAAAACACTTTTTGAGTAGCGTAGAAGTGAACTTAATTCAGCAATCTGATTTATTCAAGATGACTTAAAAGAAGCATGTTATAATAGTCATGAGGCAGGAGACACTGGGCAGAAAGGTGTGAACTCACACTTTCCTATGCTGTTCACCAGTATTGTCTGAAACAGGAACTGAAAAAATTTGAATGTATTCAGAATATTTTTGTATATACTTATTTATTTTTGGAGTAAAGTATTTAGAATGCTTTAGATGTAAAAATGACTACAACTGAGGATTAAAATCAGAATTCAGAGTTTTTTCTTTTAATTGAAGACATACAATAACTTGATTGAATTTTTTAATGTAGTTTTTGTTTATACTTTATAAATTAGCTGAGTAGAAAAAAATTTGTAAGAAGTTGTTTTCTTTAAAAAACCATGAAAATTATTATTTTACTGTTTTTACGTTATGTGTATACATGCATGTTTGTGTTTATGTGCACATGAGTGCAGTGCCTTTGGACCCCCTAGAGCTGGAGTTAATAGACAACTATGACCAAATGTGGGTCTTATGCAAGAGCAGTCTTTGCTTTCAACCACTGAGCTAGTTCTCTAAGTCCCTACATTTTTATTATTATGCATGTGTTGGAGAGTGTCTGTGGAGGTCAGAAATCTAATATGTGGAGTTATCTCCCCATCTTCCTTGGTGTGGGTTCCAGGGATTGAACTCAGGTCACCAGTCTCACAAAACAAACATCCTTATCCATGGAACTATCTCGCCAGACCTAAAGTCGGTTTCTAGCTGATCATTAGGGATAAGGACATTAAAATGAAAGTGATTGTGTCCCAGGTTATAGCACATGGATTTTAAAAATGCAGCATGCTCCTTATTTGCTATGCAGGTAACCATTTTATGGTAGGAAATCATTGTAATCTTTAGCTCATTCATCAGTCTTACTATGAGAGTTGATTTGAGTTATTATTTTCCCCACAAAATGATAGTTTTTCTAAATAAAGGGTTAAAATTTATATTTACTTTTTCTTTCATAGGGAAGTCATCGATTCAAAAATTTGTTCTGGATTAAGATTTTTTTGGTTGGCATTGAAGGCTGACTGAGAAGTCAAGGACAATGGCACTGGGTTTTGATTCTACTGCATGGACTGAATTTGTGGGAGCCTGGTTTGTTTGGATGCTCACCTTTATAGACCTGGATGGAGGGGTGAGGACCTTGGACTTCCCACAGGGCAGGGAACCCTGACTACTCTTAGGACTAGAGAGGGAGGGGTAGGTGAGGGGTGTGAAGGAAAAAGGAGGCAGGAAGGAGGTGGTAATTTTTAATAAATAAACTAATAAGTAAATAAATAAATAGAAAGAAAAGGGGGGCTGGAGAGGTGGCTCAGAGGTTAAGAGCACTGGGTGCTCTTCCTGAGTTCAATTCCTAGCAACCACATGGTGGCTCACAGCCATCTATGAGACTGGTACCCTCTTCTGGTAGGCAGGCATACATGCAGACAGAATATTGTATACATAATAAATAAATTTAAAAAAACAAAACGAAAAATAAAGCTTTTAAAAAAGCAGAAAAGGGGAGGAGATGTGGGATTCCCTCTGTATGCTGTGAATATCATTGGTGAATAAAGAAACTGTCTTGAGCCTGTGATAGGGTAGAATAGAGGTAGGCGGGAAAAACTAAATTAAATGCTGAGAGGAAGGAGGTAGAGTGAGAGAGAAGCCATGTAGCCCCACTGGAGACAGATGCTGGAACTTTACCCAATAAGCCACAGTCACGTGGCAATACACCGATTACTAGAAATGGGTTAAATTAAGAGTTAGCCAATAAGAAGCCAGAGCTAATGGGCCAAGCAGTGATTTAAATAATAAAAAAAGAGTGCAGAAGTAAAAGTAAACATCTGCCAAATGACACTTTCCAAGGTAATGTAGGTGGGGTGTATGCATGTCTGTGAAGGAAGGTGTGGCTGTGGGAGTGACAGAGTGTGGGTCAGCTGAGAGAGGAGAGACGTGAGAGGCGGGTTTAGACTGGGGAAAAAGACAGCTCTTGAAGTATCTTGCTAGATTTTATAAGGAGGTTTAGCCATTCTGGGGGAGTCAAGGTAACTTATTGGAGGTTTTGAAGTATGGTTATCACAAAGACAGCAGTTTACTGTTTATCTATGCTGAGGTGACCTGAGCTCCAAATTACTGTTTTAAAATAATGTTATTTTAAGATACCTACGAATAAAGATCCGCAAGTCTTTCTGAGTACTGTGACTGAAGGAGCAGAGTTTCTGTAGACACAAGCTCATCAGAATAATCACTTCATATGAGAAAAGCACAGCACAAAATAATCTAAGTAAGCATGATGGATAGAAGCTGCCGATCCTAGGAAGACCATCACTAAGACATTTATATCAGGCTGTAGTCAGGGGGGCTTTATTAGACCTAGAAAATGTCAGTAGATCAATAAACAAAACCAAACCAAACAAGACAAAGCATTCTGTTAGTAGAAATAATAATTCCTACCGAGATTAAATGTATAGTATTCATTACTCACTACTCAGTTCAATTTTATCCAGTATTATTAAGAATTCATTTATTACACAACAGGAAAAAACAAAAACAAAACAAAAGACATCTTGAATATTGCAGGCAAATGAATTGAGCTAGAAAACATCATTTTGAGTGAGATAACCCAGGCCCAGAAAGACGATTTTCACATGTACTCACTCATAAGTGGTTTTTAAACATAAAGCAAAGAAAATTAGTCCACAAATCACAATCCCAGGGAACCTAGACAACCATGAGGACCATGGATCTACATGGGAAGTAGTTGAAAAGACAAGCTCTCCTGAGTAAATTCGAAGCATGGGGACCTTGGGAAAGGGTTAAAGGGGAGGAGAAAGGCAGAGAGGGGAACATAGAAAAATGTAGAGCTCAATAAAAATCAATTAAAAAAATAAAAATAAAGATGTATAGAATGGGATATACAAAAAATAATTCATTTAGTATTCAGATAAAGTAATTGAAGAACAGTATTTTTGTTGTTTTGTTTTATGCAAAGTTACTGACTTTTGTTTTATATTTTTGACAAATATAATAAATTCAGCCAAACTATATAAACTATATGGTACTGGAAAACAATGTCATGATCCATGTAGTTAGTGTTATTCAAAGTTCTATATTCAGTCTTCATAACTGAACATGTTGCTACATGGTGATGTCTACCAACAGAGTATAATTGCAGCTTTAATTAAAAAAGATTTTTTTGGTTAGAATTACATTTTTGCAAAATTTTGTAAAATATTCTCTACATTATCTGCTTTGTCAATTGTTTGGATACCACATTATTGATTTTCACAAGTCAACTGGTTTTTCGGGTACATACCCTCGCTTATTTGAATGGATATTGAACTATTATTCTTCAGATAGAGAAGGGAATTCAAAGGTTGTGTATACATCAAAGCCTCCTGTCTATCTCCAGCACCTGGGTTAGTAGATCACACACATAACTGTCATTTTTAAGACAGCAGATTGACTATTGCTTAAGGAAGGTCAAGATTGCAAAAGTAGAGGTGGCAGGGTGGAGAGGGGGTTGTTGTGACTGGTTGTCAGAGCTACTTGTCATCCTGGTACATACTTGGGTGACAAAGAGTCTTGGGGCCTTTGCACTTCTTGTGGTCCTTTTCTGGTTCAGTGCTATCATTATCCAGCCCTTTCCTTCTTTCAGTCTTTCCTCATTTGTCACTATATTAATCCTTTCTAGACTGCACTTATTTAAAATTGCAAGAGAGTGTGTGTTTTAAATACACAGAAGCCCACACAGAGACTGCAAATGTATCTATAGTAATAACTGTGTATAGATGTAAGATATAAACTGTTATTTATACTTTGACTAGGTCATAGACAAACAATTGTTGGAATTGAAAAGAAGAAAAACCAGACATTGTGTTTGCTAATATTTGATGTTGGATGTCCTTCTCGAGAAATGCAGAGACTGTTAAAGCAAGGCATAGAGGCTGGTAGTCTCAGGCAGCTGCGGAAATCTGTGGGGAATCTTAAACATAAGCAGTACCAGATAGTAGCAGTAGAGGGCGGTCTTTCACCAGAGGAGAAAGTTGTAAGTATCTCAGTATCAGGTGAAGTTGCTTATAATTTTTAATTAAAATCAGCATTCTCTTTATCTCCTCACAACTCGTTCTATTTCATGAAATGACAAATACATTTGTCTTTAATATCACTGAATTTCTGGAAAGGCCATTTTAAAATTTAAATAGCTACCTAAATGCCTTAATTTATTTTCATAAAATATTTAAGTTTGTAGTTTTACCTTTTGATGTCAGGTAAGTGTTCAGTAACAATAATGTGGTTATATAAACAATCAGTAACTAACTCGGGTGGTCTTACTGTTTATTACCTTGGATTTGGAAGCTATATTTTATCCATTGGCCTTCTGAGTATATTCAGTTCAAGAATAACTCTTGCCTATATCATTTATAGGTAAGTGATGAGTTCCAAATTACTAAAGAATTTCTAGGCATTAGAAAACCTCCACTGAGGTTGTAAGCTGCAGACATATCATAACACACTATGCCTAGATAATGCATCTTAAGATTATATTGTTTTATTTTATTTTTTAATTGCATGTACTTGTGTGGAAAGATGCTTAAAAGAAATCCCACACTAGTTCAGAATTGAGAAATAGATGGTTATTTATTTAAGGGTAAACTCACAAATCAGAATCCTCTGCTTGAATGGAGATCAGAAACCAAATCCAGCAACCGGAAAGAGCTGCCGAACGCAAGCTCTATATCAACATATACAGTATAAGAGGACATGCCCCAGTGGCAGGAAACCACTGGCTGTAAGAATTTCTACAGCATATTTGTGTGTGTGTACATAGAGTGCAACTCTCATGGAAGCCAGAAGAGGGCAGAAATGGCATGGAGCTGGAGTAGCAGGTGGTTGTGAGCTGCTCGATGAGGGTCCTGGGAAATTCATTTGAGCCTCCTGCAAGAGCACTCTGTGCTCATAACCACTGAGCACGCCTGTAGCCCTGGTGTGGGAAATAAATGAGAAAATTAAAAAGAGTTCTTATTTGAGAACTTCATATTTGTTTCCCTCTAAAGATGAGACAGAATACTCAAGAGGGACATGGGAAAGAACAGGTTCAAGGGAAAGGAGTCAGATTTAAAACAGAAGCTGGCTAATCTCAACTTTTTAACTGGAGATAGAAAGACAAAGATTGTTTGCTAGATTATTCAATTTAAGTATGCTTTAAAAGATTTCTTTTCAATGTCTTTAATCCCCAATTACAAACTTATTTTTAAACTTATTACTAATTTGGCCAGATAAATGGAGAGTTGATTTTAATTCTTGTTATGGGTTATGATGCTTGCTTTCCAGTGCACAGTAACTTTTCAGAGTATAGTGGTAACCAGGTGTTGTCTGGGCTCCAGGTGAACAACCTGTTAACTGGCTATAAAAGCCAGTTTTAGAAAGTGAGTCACTGTTGCTGTTAGAATACTAAACATGTCTTTTCTGTTCTTTACTTTTGACTTTGTTCCTTTGGGACTGGGGGGGGGTGTTGTTAGATCATAGCAATGCCTTTAAGAATTACCGCTACTAAGGACTTTACATGTATCAATGTATATAACCTCACTGTAAGGTAAATGATTATTGTTCCCATGTTTCAAACGAGGATGCTTACAGTGAGTAGTGAAGTCAGATCTGCAGTGTAGCAGTTCATCCAGTGGTTGGCCCTGTGTAGTCTCTTGAAGGAATCTGACCGATTCTCTCCAGCCCTAGTTCTTATACTTTTTAAGACATTTTACGAAATCATTTTTCTTTTTAATATTTCTTTTTTTATTTTTTTATTATTAAATTATAAAAGTTTCCATTTCAGCCCCTCCTCCCACCACCCTCCCACTCCCCCCACTCCCTCTCCTCCTCCCTCTCCATCCCCTAGAGCAGTCAGGGTTTCCTGCCCTGTGGGAAGTTCGAGTTCCTCCCCCCTCCCTCCAGGTCCAGGGAAGGTGAGAGTCCAAACAGATTGGAGCGCCAAAATCCAGTATATGCAGAGGAAGCAAGTCCCAGTGTCATTGTCAACGGCTTTTCAAAAAGGCTCCGGGCCAGCCACATATACATGTATACAATGTATTCTGATTATTCTCATTACCTCGACCTTTTCTGCAACCCCCAATCAACCCACTCTTAGTTCTAAATTTTTTTTCCCCAAAGAATAAAATATTGAGACAGGTCTTTTTTCAGTGCATCCCTGACTGACTGATTATTTCTACCAGAGTGGCCTCAGAAATCACAGAGGTCAGTCTGTCTTTCTTCCCAATGCTGAGATTACAGGTGTGCACCACCATGTACTGCCTTATTAAAGCTTTTAAATTATGTTTATTTTTATTTAAATTTTAGTGCGTGTGTATGTGTGTGCGTGTGTGTGTTTGTGCTGTGTGAATAGGCATTCAGAAGTTGTTTCTCTCCTTTTACCATATGAGTCCCAGGGCTTAAATTCAGTTCATTGGGTTTGGCAGGAATTGCCTTTACCAACTGAGCCATTCCACTGGCTCCGTTGTTATACTTTGAAAATAATTTACCTTTTATTCACAAGGAGAGTTTGGCATTCAAAACTTCTTTTATTCTTAAAACTGACTTATGATTGCCGTAAGTTATCTCTTCTGTGAATATATTTTGAATAACTGTTTATTCAAGACCTGTCTAGATATTTAAGTTCTTGTTAGTTGAAAGAATAAATACCTTCTAACTAAGATTAGTTGTATAATTAGATATGTATATAACAGCATTAGTCATATCCTCAATTAAAAAGAAAAGGAAAACATTTAAAAGGGGTCTTATTTTTTATACTTGTGTGTGTGTGCCTGTGTGCAAACCACATGAGTGTTACACCCGAACATGGCATCAGAAGGCTCAGATGATGACATTAAAGCCACCATACCTAGAGTTGTGGGTGGTCGTGAGCTGCCCAGTGTGGGTATGGGGAACTGAGCTAACATCTTTTGTAAGAACTGTATTACCAACCACTGATCCGTATTTCTAGCAAACTATTTTCTCTTAAGTTTTTTTTTTCAACCTTTGAGACAAGGTTTCATGTGGCCCATGCTGGCCTTGAGTTCACTGTGTAGCCTAGGTTAACTATGAACTCCTCATTCTCCTACCTCAACGTCATGGATTACTAGCATTTAATATTGTGCCTAGCTTCTCTTCACATCTTGATAATAGTTGCTAATTTACCTCACTACATTCTTAGTTTTTATTTGGTTATTCCGGTACTCTGAATTTCATTTAACCTAATTTGTTTAGTTTAACATAGTTTAATGTTTTATTTTATAAATCAAGTTTGGAAGCAGCACAAACAATGAACGTTTCCTTTTTTCATTTAATATTTTATTAACTCTGTGAGAATTTTATACATGTATACAATGAATTTTGATCATGTTTTCCTCCTCTGTTTTCCTTAACAATTCCCAGATCATTTCCCACCAAGTTTTCATTACGAGCTTTATTTATTTTTTCCCCATAACCCAGAATCCAATTTTGCTCTCAAATATTCCTGGGTATGAGACCAGCCAATGGAGCATGGTCAGCTTACCAAGAGTTGCACCCTTAAAGAAAACTGACTCTTTCTCATCCCCAAGTCAGATGTCAGCAGCTGCTCAGCCAGGAGTGGTACAGCTGGAATACTAACTCAAAATAAACAAGGTTTGTTGTTGTTGTTATTGTTTTTGCTTTTGAGACAGTTTTGGCTGTCCTGGAACTCACTATGTAGACCACTCTGGCCTTGAACTCACAGAGATCCACCTGCTTTTGCCTCCTGAGTGGTGGGATTATTTGCTCATTGCTCTTTCTTTTCACCACTTCTTTATTTCCCTTGGTGCTCCTCAATCCCCTCCCATCTATATCATTGTGAGTCAGCATTTTAACATTTGACAGAGTCCATTGGTGAATAACATTTTGTTTCACTCCATTTTCCCTTTATCTAGAATTTTCTTTATAACTTGACTTGTAAAATATGTAATACTACTTTTTTTAACTTTTAGATCATAATTTTCCATTAGAACTTTTCATTGTTATCTTGAAAAAAATCCAGGTTTTATTTTCTACATTGAAATGATAAGATAAAGGGTTGACACAATGGCTCAGCTGTCAAAGATACTTGCTGCCAAGGCTGACAAACTCTAACTTCTGGAATCACCTGTTATAAAGAGAGCGGACCTCTATAGCACATACACGCATGCACGGATAAAACAATACATGTAATTTTTTAAAAAAGATAACATAGTATATGTAATTAATTTCTAGGTTATAATTCATAGCCTGTTTTCTTCTTGATTCTTTTTTCAAGGCCACAGAACAGGCCTCTCAAGTGTTTACAGCAGAGAAGATTCCTTGAATGAAATATTTCAGTGATTTTGCACTTATTCGATTTTCTGATATTGAACTCTGATACAGTTGAAGAATTTGATTTCACTTAAGTCCTTGGTATAACATTTAAGTTATAAGTGCCTGTAAAGTTATACTTCTTAGTACTTCAGTGTCTATAATTAGTTGAATAAAATACCTTGTTTGCATTGTTGATTTGATTTCTTGCCTATGTCTCACAAACTTGTTTTATAGTTTACAAGTTAGTGGATTGGACCATAACTCTTAGTACTTAACATCTATAAATACTTTAAAACAATTGCTTATGGCAAGCACTATTATTAACCTCATGAACCCAGATGCCTGAGAAATTAGCGATTAGCCCAAGAATATTATAAGATGAAGCCCACAGCCAGCACACTGTATTTTCCACTGTGTCAATCAGGCCTTTATTGCTGTGACAAACACTCAAGCCCATTCAAGGAGGAATATTTATTTAGCTTCAAGGTTTCAGTGTTGGTTGGGCTTTCTCTGTGGTAAGATAGAACATCATGCTGTAGTCTGCTGTGGTGCTAGAGCAGAGCCACAGACACACTGTGTCAGAAAGCAGAGTTGAAACAGGAAGAGGCCAGGAACAAGCCCTACTTTATGTGACATAGATCTCCAATAGGGATATCAGATAATCCACAAATGACTGATCCACTGACAAGGTCAGAGACCTTCTAGTCCAAAAAACTCAATAACTGGATCTACCAGTTAAGTCCAAACTTTGAACAAATGAGGTGTTTTTTTGGGGTGGTGGTGATTTTTTTGGAGAGTGGAGCTTCTGTTATCATAAAATGAGTACACTGTCAATGTGTATTGACCACCTTAGTATGTAGCAAGTTCAAAAACCAAGGATTCTCTTGTTAAATATTTCCACTAACCCTCCATCTCTGGTGAAAGCCTGTGTGGAGTAGCCTGTAGGAGAAATGCTAAATTCTGTTCAGACAACTTTTGTATGTGTGTGTACATGAGAATCTTCTTATTCTGTCCAATAAATAAAAGAATTGGTGATAGAATTAAAAATTTACAGAAACTGTGAGTAACTTAGAACCAAATCAATTATAGGCTACAGTATGGTGTCAATTATTAAAGCAGGAACAATAAAGTTAGAAGTTGTAGGATGCTCAAATTTCAGATTATAAACAGAGCCCATCTGATTGGCATAGAACAGAAGTCTCCAAAGGGAATGGATACTGAGCAATTTAAAAAGCTGCTTATTTAAAAACAAAACAAAAACCTGTGTTAAGTTTTTGAACAATTTCAGTCATTCAGTCCCTCAATGAGTCTTCCTGTCTTAATTTGTATTTAACATTGAAGCCAAATGCTCTAATCTTTACATGTGTTTGCATGACCTAGTTTAATACTCTTTCTTGCTGGTTTGTAAAATTCAGCCTGTAGAAAAGCCAGTGAAGTCCTTAGTAAATGTATATTGTTGATGAGGTCATGGTCATATCAAGGGTCAATGCTTCAGCCTCATAGGAATGGCAAAACCTTCCTTGGTGAAGCTCAGAGGGGCATCAAAGCCTTTCCTAGGGTTTGAGTGTGAATATTGGCAGTGAGTGCAGAATATATCCCCTGTAGCTTTCTCACTGCCCTTATCCCACACCTGATGTTTATGGTCTGAAGATTGATACCCTACAGATACTTCTATGTCTACTAAGATTAGTCAAACCTGCCTCCTTTTTCTGGTGTATATAATAACTCTGCCTCATGCTCTGGTTGTATGCAAAATTTCTGCCTCCCTCTTCAATTGTATACAACAAAGCCACTGAGATTCTGGGTTGCTGAGTTTTCTCCATTAGAGAGCCCAGTTTCCCTGATTCCAGTTTTCTGAGTGTCTGTGTTTGTCTTTTCTTTGGTCCCTCACCTCTGTCATATCAATCCCTGGAGCCCTGGCACCAGCCTTCCACACTATCCAGTCTCTGGTTGCCTCAATAGGTTCAACAACCACACCCTCCCTGATACATACCTTTCACTTGAAGTTGTATTCTCTCTAAAATCCCTTCCAAAATGCTTCCCTACTGCTGGGCACCCTTCTGATATAGAAAGTCCTTCTGTATATGTATTACTTTTATTGGTTAATGAATAAAGAATCTGTTTTGGGACTGTGACAGGGCAGAATAGTGCTAGCCTAGGAAAACTAAACTAAATGTTGGGAAAAGAAGGTGGATTCAAGTAGACGCCATGTTGCCTCCTAACCTTGCTGGTAGGCCACATGGAAAAACTTTAAAGGAATCTTGTCTTCAAAATTTGGGTCTAAGGATATGTTGCTTTGAAAAAGTTCTTTATTTGTTTCCACAGAGAATTCAAATCTGTGGAATCCTTTCAGGCTCATGTGGCTTGATGAACCAAGAGCCCTGAATGGCTGCCATGAACTCGCCCCCAAATTATTTGTCTAATGAAAAGCAGAAAGCAGTTTAGGAGAGACCTATACCCCAATTCCCAAATATTGTTTATAAATGTTTGTTTACATTTAAAGTGTGATATGCTATAGAGATGAATACTTTGCATTGGATCTTGGTTTATTGATACAAATTTAAGGTCAATTTTGTTATACTGTGTATATGTATTTCTGCTCTTGATTAAGGTACTGTGTTTTGCAGCTCATTTAAAAATGTAATGTATAATTAAAAATATAGGTAAATAGAGAGTCATCTATAATAGTCAAACTTGTAGTCATATTAGTTAGGTTTTCCAGATATATAGAGATATATTTCAGTTAGATAGGTATTATTCAAATCTTTCAAAGACTAACAGAATATGGCTCTTAAACATTTTAAAAACTTAGGACTTTTCATGACAGTGAGACACATCAGCCACTTGCAGCACCAATCTACTTCAAGAGGATGATGGGCACCAAAGAGGTTCCTTATGACATTGGTTAGCTATTTGGGTAAGAAAATGCTCTTGCCTGGAGTGCTTAATACTATGTTGTATGAACAAGACATGCAGGACCCACAGAGAAATGACTGCCGAACTTGTCTAAAGGTGAGACGATCCTTCGGGGTTCCTGCTTCATGGAAGAGTCTTCTAGACATTCTGCAGAACACAGAAAAAAGTGACTGACAGAATGTCAATATAGGCAGAACTAGCTTTGAAATTTTTGCTTCTTGACAAAGTCTGCCAGTACTATGGGCCAATAGGCTAAAGATGGGTGATCATAATGTTACAAAGTTACTTTGGGTGACTGTCCAGACAGCAAGATGTTTCTGTAAATTCTAAAGTTTTAGAAGTTGCTTACAATGCACTTCCCACTTACTTAGGTAATATTATATCCTTCTGGAGTCTTTGTTGGAGTTGGAGAATAGATGGTTATAGTTTTTCTTAGTTATATGAAAGAAAATTTAAATACAAATAGTGTAACTGTAATTCTTGCTTGATACCTGTTTTGTTATATGTAATTTTACTATGTTAAAGTTAAAATCTTTCTTTATATTTAGACAGAAAAGGGGAGATGGTGTAGGACGTCCTTCTGTATATGTGTTACTTTTATTGGTTAATGCATAAAGAATCTCTTTTGGGCCTGTTATAGGCAGAATAGAGCTAGATGCGGGAAACTAAGCTGAATGCTGGGAGAAGGAAGGAGGAGTTAAGTAGGTTCGATTTAGCCCCTCCAGAGATAGAAGACAGATGTAGCATTATTCAGTAAGCCACAGTCACATGGCAATTCTACCATGATATTCTATGCAGTGTCTCATAATTAATTTAGATCTGCTCAAGTATTGAGTAGACACATTCTGATTTACCATGGTGTTACTCAAAAGTATAGACCAGTGATCATCAATCTCCCACTCTATGACAAGGGAGGTGTAAAACTATAAATTGCTGACTGCTTTCTAAAAGTAACACAATTGTCATAATTTCATAAAGATTCATTTTTATTTGTGGGTGTGTATGCACTTGTATGTAGCCTGTGGAAGCTAGAAGAAGTCTCGAATATGACAGAACTGGAGTTAACAGGTAGTTGTTTAGCTGCCCAGTGTGATTTCTGAAGGCTGAACCCAGGTCCTCTGCAAAAACAACAAATATAAGTGCTCTTAACCACCGTGTCACCTCTCTAGTCCCTGGTTATCAATGCTGTAAATTCCATATCCCTTGATACTCAAAATCTAGACATTTCCAAGAAGCATTGTGAATTATAACTTTCAATACTTGCTGTATTTAAAATTGAATTTGAGCATCGTGGTACACACTTTAATCCCAGGTCTTGGGAGGCAGAGGCAAACAGATATCTGTGAGTTTGAGGTCAACCTGGTCTACAGAGTGAGTTGCAAGACAACAAAAGATGCATAGTGAAACCCTGTTGAAGAGATCTTTCCCAACCAGGATTATTTAAGTGTTAATCACTGGAGTTATGGCTTTTAAAACAGTGATGTGCTCATATGAGCTGGAAAATCCACTGGCAACTTCCTGTACAGCAACTCTTTATATGTAGTCTCAAATTTGATATATTTTTTGAATGTTCGTTGCTTTCAAGACATGGTCTCCCTATGTAGCCCTTGCTGCCCTGGACCTCACTAAGTTAACCAGGGTGGCCTTGGATTTAAAGAGATCCTACTTCCTCTGCCTCCCAAGTGCTGGGATTAAAGGTGTGTTTCAGCATTCCCAGCTTTTAAAACATTTTTTAAAGATTAACTATATGTGTGTTAGCACACATGACTCATGCACACATGCAGTTGCTGTGAAGGGCAGGAAAGGACACTGGAGCTAGGCCTTGAGCCATCTGACTTAGGTGTTGGAAACTGCTCTCAGTAAGGGCAAAATATTTATTAACCACTGAGCTACTTCTCCCCTCCCACGCCCATCCCTCACTTGATAACTTTAAAGGAATGATATTTTGTACCATCACTTCCAACATACACACATATGTATTTTCAAAATATAGGTGTGTGTACATAAAATGAGTCCTCCATAAAAGATTTGTGCGTGTCAGTGCCACATCAGACTGGGCTAATTTCATCTTAGTCATCATTGTCATCATCTTTA